CCCTAGCGACCAGAGGGATCTCTTGAACAGTGATTGTGATGAGGTACATGTACATGTACGTGTACGTGCTGGAGTTGACGCTACATAAACATTATTAATTGATTATTGGTTGTTTTATTATTATTAATATTTATTTTATCTTTAAACAAATAAAGACTCTGAACTGCTAGACAATATCAAGCAATGAGAGAGACGAGCCTAAACCAGCTATTCACTTATACCGTATACTATAGCGGGTACATGTATATTCCGTTCGAGTTTAATTTCATTCTCATTCCTTGTGGAACAAAACATTTTCCAAACTAAGAGTGTTTCCTCAATGCCACATGTGCAAAATGGCTGCTCAGAACGAAAATTTCTAGAACAAACATTTTTCCAGACGAAATATACCCACTATACGGTATTAAACCATTCATGAATAATACTGTTTGTTGTTAATGAATGAGATCCAAATGCTATGGAGAGCACTACCTGAGATCCTTTCAACAGAATACGACCTTATAGTGTAGTACTGGATCATAATAGGCTATTAATTATATCTAGTGCAATCTCAATTTTATGTAGCACCTTATGATCTTAAGACATTGCAGCTTGATTCAATGATTTAATGATTGCCGGAGCTAATATCATTAAAATCACTGTAACAGTTAAATTACATGTACATGTACACCAGACCCTTTATTTCTTGTCTAAAGTGTCTTCAGTTATTGTTTTAGGATTGAGTCAGTAATAATGATGGTCTTTCACAATTACTCTGCTAATAATGTATACATCACTGAGTGTCTACTAGTGATCCTATACCTGATAAGAGAAGGAGAGTAAAGGATATGATGGTGTTTATGTAAGTATATGTTAGTCTGTATCCTTGTTTACTTATCCTATTCCAAACACCATCTACATGTACTCCTACTACTATATGTACACATATTTTCATTATTGTTTATAAATTAGCGTATACATGTACATACATGTATCACAAATGTTGTGTGTGTACATGTACATGTACTTCACTGTTATTTTATAACGTTAAAATAAACATTATAATACTTTATGTTTGTGTATTGCAGTAGGCGTGTGCCCTCCTACCCACTGGAAGAAAGAAAGGAGAGAGAGAGAGAGAGAGAGGTGTCTTCTTCTTACTATTATTATTAGTGAAGTGTGTTTATTGTTGTTGGTGGTGGTGATGTCTTTTGATTCTTCTGGCTCAGGGGAGAAGTTGTTTGATTATTTAAGGATAAAGTTTAGGATTGAAGCTGGCTGTAAAGTGTCCTGCAACATCCCTTCCAATACTTGGAAGGTAAGTAATGAATAATAATAATAGCAATAGCAATAGATGTACTTATATACTGATAATTGGTGTGGTGTTTTGTTATTGTACCAGTTCTTTTAAAGCTTCTATTCCTTCCTTATTATCAATAATGGCTACATACATGTACATGTACATACATTATGTATTATACGTGCCCTATTGCTTAGAATGTTTTTTATTGTATGCCTGCACTTTGTCTTGAGGTGAGTGGGTATTTCTACACATTTCATAAAGTATTGTTTCTATTGTGCAGCTGATGCTTTAGATATCTGTTTTGTTTTTGTTTTATAAAGTAACGGTATTTCTACAGAATTTGGGTTTAAAATTTTATTTTTATTACATTTTCTGATACATACTGATGCCCTTATGCTGTGTAGAAAGTTTGAGCTAATTCCAATAAGAAATTTATGAGTCACGACCATTTTTTTAAATAGGCTAATTTTTGATAAATACCCAAGGCTATAGCCTTGGAATTTTTTCAAAAAATGTCTCATAAATCAATCCAATTTTTATTAAATTTTCTGATACATATTAATGCTTTTATACTACGTATAGAAAGTTTGAGCTGATTCCGACTAAAACTTTTCGAGTTATGGCCATTTTAAAAGTAACAAAAATAGTTTCTATATACTGCATACATGTACATGTATATATCACTGATCCTTCTCTCCCTCTCCTGCTGCAGGAGTACAAGAAGCAATGGGTAGTACTGAACACTAGTATCAGTCCGTCTCAGTGTTACATCACCTACTGCCCACAGGAAGAGTACTGGATATCAAACCAGAAGAAACTCTCTAAACTTGTCCTTGATAACTTCCACCTGGAGAAACCCTCAGGGCGGAGTGCTAAGAATATACTAGGAATATGTTACGAGCACTATACCCTCTTCATTGAGTTTGAGTCAACCAGCAAACTCCAACTCTGGTCTGAGAAACTAGACATCATTAGAAGTAAGTGGGGAACTACTTCTGTTATTATTATACTATTATCATTATTGGTATTATTGTATCATCAATATTAAAGTTTCATGTACTAATGATAACAAATAGATCTGCAATGATTATGATAATAGTTTTATTAACTTATCATTATTATTATCAATATTGCTATTCTTTATTCTTTAGCTAAGACCCTAGTTGAGCTAGTAAGATCTCCAGAGCACCCCGAAAGAGAGAGAGAGTACATTATTGACCTCCAGCAGGACAGGCTTCTCTTCTTCCCTCATCAGTTGGGACATGAGGTTGAAGACATTATTGAGTTTGAGTGGAAACTAGACTGCATTAGGAGAGCAAAGTATCACAAACACGTCGGGAAAGTTGAAGTGGAAGTTGGAAGGTAATTTAATATACATATGTACATGTACATGTAGTCCAGCCTGTCTGGAGGTGTGTGTGTATAAGTAATGTAATACCTGAGGACTGAGATATCTGCTTGAGGTGAAGCTGAGGGCAGATATCAAGGGACTCAGGTATTACATTACTGATACTCACCTCCAGACACACGCACACACTGGTCACCCCATATAGTATACTCATATTATGTTGTTTATGGTAAGTTCCATAGTGTGACATGTAATGTTATTCATGTGTTGATGACGTTATTTAATATAAAATTGACCATATGAAAGCTAGGGACATCACATGTCAATGAATGCATCAATAAATTGTTATTTATTTTATTGTATTTTTATCAAAAACTGTGACGACACAATAGCTTATTGTCCTCCTTTATAGTTTATACAACATTTCCTTAATTGACACGAACACAATCTCTTTCCCATCAACATTGTTTGTGTTTGCATGTCTTCCATTAACTGCCCCCCATTCTCTCCCTCTCTCCCTCTCCCTTTCTCTGTTTCTCCTCTCTTTATATGCAGGGCTGCAGTAACTGGTGAAGGACACTTTTATTTCATCGGTCCTCAGATAGTTCATTTCTTTCAAATCCTAAAGGAAAGGATCGAAGTCTTAAGCCACTCCAGCAACAATGCCTTCTCTCCTTCCTCCACCAGGAAGAAGCCAGACAACAGTTACTCAACAAGAAGGAAACCTTCAGATCACAGTTTCTCGGGCAGCGTTGACTACACTCCCATGTCCACCTCATCACCAGAAGACCCTGATGGCCATCAAGGTGACTCACCCTCATCAACTGGAGAGAGTTCAGGAGATCCTTACCCATTCCGTGCTCCTCTTCCTCCTCCTCCTCCTCCTCTCTCTCCTCCAGTATCATCCTCTCATAAGCTCCCAGCTATCCCTCCAGTCGCTACTCCCGTACTCAGCCCAGCTCCCAGTATACCAGAGTTCTCTGAGGCTGGTCATTATCCTTTATCAAAGTCTGTTAGCATGACCAGTGACTACCAGTCCTTGCAGCACAGTACCCGTCAGAGACCCTCTGAGTATGAGTCAGTATCACTAACAGCCAAACCATCATTTAGAATCAACTCACTGCAATGAAACTGGAGCTACTGTACATGTACATGCATGAATTTTACTCTTTCTCCTTGCTATAGTCTCATATTAATGCTGTACATATATGCATGTATATATATATGCATGTATATGTACATGTATGTGTATACAGTAACCATTTCTGTATGTTTATGTTATCCTGAGGTGGTGGGTAGCTTTTGTTTATTCAACGTTTTTTATTAATTTATTTTACTATAAAGATAATTTTCCATTATGTACTGTTTATTTAGTCCAATATCTTTATTCCTTTACACATAAACTCTCTCATCTTTCTTTTGTACGTTCTTAAAATTTTATCTGAGTTTTTTCGTGATAAATTACCCACGTGAGTACACGTGTCTAACATCCACCCACTCAAAAGATTGTGCCCACGCCTACTTCAAAATGGCTCGTTACATTCCTAAACTTCTTGAAATGCGGCAGGAGCTTTCTCCTCTTCTCCAAGGGAAAGTAAGAAGAAAATAAGATATATTTAGTTAGTTTTTCTCTGTCTCTTAGTTTGATGAAGATGGTGTGAAGGAGTTGGCCTATTCTCTTGAAGATGGTTCCATTTTTGAAATAGTCAAAGAACTAGAAGAAATCCAACAACTAAATGAACGCTCTCTCCTTAACCAGCGAATAAAGGTCAGCCATTTTATGGGCGTGGCTTAACTCTCGTTAAATTATAATTAAAATTCTTTGTACTCATTTTTGTAATTTGATCCCACGTTGCCGCAGCAACGACTGCATAGCAACCGTGTTCCCTTAGCAACCATTAGATCATAATATTTCTAGTGAAGAGCATGAGCATGTTTTCCTTCATTAGTTACATGAACATGCACAATTAGTTTATATAAGAGTATATGTGATACAGTTCCATATTAACCTGTATAGTGTGTATAGTGGCCAGCTATTACTAGTATTTCCTTTCTGAGAATATGATCAACTCAACTGGGACATCTTTGATCTTTTACTAGTGAAGCTTATTTTACTATAATGGCACTTTGAATTCTCAGAGAGAATTCTTCTCTCTCTGTCTCTCCCCCCCCCCCTCTGTCTCTCTCTTTGTAAGAATTCTCTTTATTATATTATACTGATCTTACAGTGCAGATACATGTACATTTACTATACCTTAATATAAATATCTTTATTTTGAATAAACTGCATACTCTGTATCTTTTATTATTAATTTTGTTATGAATACTTTAAGCTGTAATTTATTCATATACATGTACATGTATGCGTTATGTCTGTTACCGTGACAACAGGTCGTTAACGAGCACAAGAGGGAGTGGTCTGAACTCACTCGACGACAAAAAGATGAAGTGACCGAAGCACGCCCACACACCCTTACTCTAATTAAAGCTCGTCACGAGGAAGAAAGGGTGGAGCTTGAGAGTCGACTGGGAGCAGAGATAAGAGAGACTGACCAGAGGATTATACTGGAACTGGATCAACTGGTAACGGACCAACAGTCCACACTACAACAAGCAGCTGTGCCTTTCTTTACCGTCACTAACAATAACAATGATAATAAACTAATGAACTCGCTACTGATATTCATACTAAGACTCTGTAACATTGAACATTAATAATATTCATTAATTATATTGTTGTATATAATTGTACAGACTAGCCTCTATATAATGGACACTTTGAAAGTGTCTCTGTTATACAGAGGTGTGCTTTATGTGGAGGTTATTTTATACAGTAAGGAATGTAATTGGTACACTAGGTGCTGTCCGTTAAATGGAGGTGTACGCTATAGAGAGTGTCCATTAAGAGAGACTATACTACATACCACTGGATCCCTGTACTATATACTGGTAGTATTGATCATTAGTGGCAGTGCTGGTTGTACTGATCATTAGTGGCAGTGCTGGTTGTATTAGTAATTGTGTGTAGTCTTTGTTCTCTTGTGATTTTTCCTATTAAC